TTCCTGGGGTGTACTGTGGCTCGACAACTTTCTTTTTCTAGGATCTTGCTGCAACAATGTGGAATGAATCCAGTGACCATCAACCATCCAGGCCCATGGCTGGGCAGTTGTTTCTGTTGTGTCTCAGAAGTGCATTACCTTTACGGGTCTTTGCCTAAAAGTACTTGCAGTGTGAGGGTGCTTACCCAAGTCCATGTGTCACCCCAGGAGTCAGATCCCCTCAGTGAGCAACGCGGTGATGGGCTGCCATCCTGCCATCTGACAATATCACAACCATAACCAACCTCATCCTCTTTCTTATCAGATCTGTGCCCTGGTACTGTGCATGCTCCCCACGTGACTTTCCTTCAGTGCTTATCATTTCAGAAGTTCTTAAAATGACCCAGTGCCACGTAATTCGAGTGGAGCTGCGATTTGGAGGTTAATGGAGGAGTTTCACACACAGGATAGTAAAAATGAACATCGATAGATGCGTCTCTAACTTGTGAAGAGTTAGCAATGAGTGAACTTGTTTGAAGGCATCAGGTTCTATCCCAACTCCCATGGATGGCCTTTAAGCACTTAAAACCCAGGTACATCTCTGAACCTTACAGGAAGTGTTTCAGTGGCTCTGTTGTGGAGTAGTTGTGGTAGAGGGATAAAATTACATTGCTTGTATCTGGAAATCAAGACTAGCAAGTGACTCTAGTTAGCTCAGGGCTGAGGTGTCATGTTTAGCTCATCCCTGTAATTCCTTACAGTGTTTTCAGAACTGAAGCCAGGCCCTATTTTTCAAAAAAAAACCCATTGATTTTTGTGCTGAAACTGAAACCTGGGCATCAGGGAGATCTGACGGGGGAAACCAAATCTCCACAGCCACTTGCTTGTGACTTGTCAAGAGTCAAAGCAAGACAGGACCTCTTCTGGCATGAGATGAGTAGCAGAGGCCTCTGTAGCTTGCGTGGCAAACAGACTTGGACTGTCCCAGGGGTCTGCCGTGTTTCTGGAAGTCTTGTGTTGGATGCTTTGACCTGCAGGGTGGTGGTGTTGGACAGGTCTGCATGGGTGAATTCCTATTCCGTGATGAGGAATCATCCCCTTCTCAGTTGCTGCTGGGATGCAAAGGGGCCATGTCCTGTGCAAAGGAAAGAGTTGACTCACCACAATGCAAGCATAACAGCTAAAAGTGAACAAAGTAACTGGATTCTGCCTTTGGCTATGGAGATATCAGGAATTCTTCTAGGTGCAGTCCTGGGAAAAAGGCACTGCAGCCCATCTCTTATCAGGGAACTACTGCTAAATGAGGAAAAGCTGACAGCAAATATTTATTCTCAGATCAATTCTGTTTAAAGTGCAATGTTCGTAGCAGAGCTTGGATACAGGAAGGTCAGGTATGGGATCAAGGCTACGTTTATATAAAGACGGGAATATGCACTGGAAACGCTTGCTTAGGGAAAGGACCAGAGGATTTTCAAAGTCACACGATGAGGATCTTAATTTTTGTCCTCGCGCTGGATGTTTTCTTGTGTTCGGGTAAGTTGCTCAGAATGGAACCATGTCTTCTTTCTTATGGTTTGGGGAGGAAAAGTAGAAAACTACAACGAAATTCTCTGTGCCTCCCCCTCAGGGTTTCCAGTGTATGACTATGAACTTCCGATCACCGAAGAGGCTCTCAATGCTTCCATTGCCAGGGTCAATGCTCAGTCATGGGGGAACAACCTGTATGGTGTTGTCAGGAGCCACGTCACAGGAGTAAGTGTGCAGACAACAGAGATCCTTTACCTGAAACATGCTTTGCTGTGGTGGAAGACTCTTTTTCACCCAACCCTGAAAACCCAGTGCCACGTTGGAATTAGTTGGAATTTTGTTTTGCTGCTAGGAAGAGGGGTGGGTTTGGGGTATTGTCTGAAGTTATGGCTATAGCAACCTAAATATTCTGTGTATGTTGGTTTGTAAGTAAAAATATGAGTTTGAATTTTTCATCCCTAGGATAGAAATCTTTGAGGGTTGTCTTGTAAGATTTTATTCAAAACTGATGTTTTTAAATACCCCCAGCTAACTGCTTTGCTTTGGCCAGAACATGGCTTGTGTGAAGGTCTCAGCTGAGTGTTCACACTGCTAATTAAATGCCACCACAAACACATTAAGGATTCTTTCTCCATTCTGTATTTGTGTCATCTGTCTTCACATGCTAATTCTGGTTTAAATCTGCTAAATGCAGACAGGAAACCCGTATCTGTTTTAATTTGCATTGCTAAGATTTATATTAGATACCCAGAGTCAAGGAGTTAAAGCTTCCTAATTTTAAGTTAGCATGTCCATGTTTCTGAACATCCTCAGAACCATTCTGTTTCTGTAGATGGCATGTATCAATTCTTCTGCAAGAATGAATGACAAGATGACTTTTGGATTGATCTAGTTTGGAAAAAAAAACCCTGAACAAAATACAAACTTGAAAGCAGTGGGGATTTGCTGTTTATTGTTTTTTTTTGGGAGGTGTGTGTGGTTGTTGGGTTTTTTTGAGTCTCCCATCTTGACCTAAAACATCGATTAGACTGCGAGAAGAAAAGAAAATCCTAATGTGTCAACAAAAGCAACCAAACTCTCTGAAGCTTGCAGTGTTGCGTGCACATTGCACATTGAAGCATGTGAGCTGACAAGGCGCAACTCCATAAACTGCATTACTTCAACTGCTTCCAGCTGTATCATTTACTTTCCAAATCATGTATTTGCAATAGACTCCCCAGCAGTCTAGATATCGAAAAGAGAGCAGTTCACACCCTGGTTCCTGTGAGGGTAGCATGCAGGGGTAATGCTGTGCTTATCTACCTTTGACAGGTATAATCCCCTCATCTGACTAAGAAGTAGGAGGATCCTGAAATGGCTGTGGAGTTTCAACGGAAACCCCCATGGAAAGTTGTTTCATGTTGCTGTTACCAAATTTGCCTAGGAGATAACTCCTGAGCACAATGAAACAGTCTTTCCTGCACGTTGTAATCTGCTCTAAATTGGGCACTGACCCATAATGCCAGTAACATCTTGCTTCTGCTTGACAGAGAAGCCAGGTTGCCATGTAGTGGGCACAAAAGAATGACAGACACTAATTACACGTTGTGTTGGCCTTCCTCTTACCAGGTTGACATGTGGAACAGAGATGCCTATCAGCTAGAGCTGCAGTTCAGCATCCGTGAGACTGTGTGCAGGAAGGCTTCAGGGAGAGACCCATTCACATGTGACTTCAAAATTGGGCCTTTCGTGGTAAGTGCCTCTGGGCTGAATCTGAACCCCCCCCAGGCCCATGTAGGATGTTGTCAGGACATGATGAACCACAACTGGTGCTGAAGAACGACAAACGAAACTGAACGCAAACCAAATGCAACCTGCAGCATGGAGTGGGTGTTAGGTGGGAAGGGTCAGTGCTGGGAAACTGTCTGCCTGGTCAGGGGGGAATACAGCAGCTGCTGTGAGCTGAAAAGAGGATGCATAGCTTGGAGCAGCATGTGGTGAAAGTGTCTGTGTGCTTTGGGACTGAATCCTGGGAGGGAGGTGTGGCTTCTTTTCTAAGATAAGAGGGTAGAAAAGCTGACGTTTGACCTGCTTTTGTCTGTCACGCATCTAGGCACTATATAAAGGCTTATCTTCCTGCACAGCACAGATTCCCACTCTGTGCTGACAGTGCTGATCTATTTTTCAGATTTTCAACTCTGTTTCAGATTTTCAGCTCTGTTTTCTGTCTCAAATGAATGGATTAGGGTCCTGATAGAGCTCTTGCTCTGCTCTGATTCTTGGATGACCAGCTTTGGTGTAAATACATCATCTTTGAGTCTAGACTTCTCTGACCACAGTTGTTTTTTTGCCAAAACATGTCCCCCATTACAAGCCTCTCAGCTGTTGTGTCATAACTGCTCGCACAAGTCTTACAAAGCACGTGGAGTAGCTCTTGAGTCCCTGCGAGCAATGATGCCATACTGTGTGTCAGACTTCCACAGAGATTATCTCTGCTTCTTTGTGCTGCTCCAAGATGAGCTCTTCTCGCCTCCTTTTCCTCTGTGAATGGCTGCCAAACTATCTGTCCTTCCAGGGTGCAGTCTTTAGGGAAGCTGAGGGGTTCTGGGAAGGCATTGAACAGATGGTGCTTTGCTCAGAGCTTATGAATTGTGCTACCACCTCAGGAGGCAGTTTACCCCATGGAGAGGAGGATTAATGTCTCTTCAAGTCTTGCTACTCTGGAGCTAAGCAGCTTGTGTGAGTGTGTAGGTGGGACAACATGGAACTGATGGTTGTTGCTAGGTTTTCTTGAAAGATGCAAGGGATGGCTGCTGCGAAGTTATCACTATATCCTAAACCAATGCCATCCCTCTTCTTTACCTCTTGGGCAATAAGGTATGGAAGATGGCATAAGGATCTCTGTTTTCCAAACCCGAGTGGAAAGTTTTGCTGGAACTTCTGTCAAATCATGGAGACAGCTTCTTTAAGGGAGGTTTAACTTCCAGAGCTGGAGCTGCCATCAGCATAGCCCTGCGCAGCTCTTCTGTTTGTGATTGGCTATACCAGAGCCATGAAATAAGGGTTTGGAGATTTTCTTCCACCTCTAGCAGGCTCAAAACTTCATACAGCTAATACACAATAACTTACATATTAGCAAGTGGGGCAGTAACTTATGTGTAGTCATATGCTGTCAGAATATATTGGCCTGGCCACAGTCTGCTCTAGTAATTTGTTAGGTGTATAGTCTTGCTTGAGTTTCTTCCTTTTGGAATTTGATTTTAAAATCCGTGTACAGGTTCTCTACCCACAGTGAAACTCCCACGAGAGGGTTTGCGCAGTAACTTGCTCTACGTGACTTGCCGTATTTTGATTTGTTACAGGCAACCGCTTTCTGCAGAAGTGTTGTGGAAGTCTCCAATGAGCTGATCTCGAACGTTCGCGTGCAGTGCCGTCGTGGCACATTCAGCTCTGAATCGATGAGCAGCGAGGAGGTAAGAAAGGGAAAAAACCGATCTTTTGCTGCCTGGGAGAGCGAAAATTCTGCTCCTTCTCTTCTAAGGAGAAGTCAGGGGTGTGGGGGTGTGGGGGTGTGAGCTGCTACTGCTGTTGCAGTTTGAGCTTTTGATCAGAAAACTGTGGTTTCAGAGCCAGCTGTCTCCGGTAATGCTTCACTTTCCATCAGCCGAGAGGTTTGACCTTGCTTGCTGGATGCCTGAGGAGAACGTGAATCTCTGCAGCAGTCTGGCATATCCACCAGCTCCAACACTTTTCTTGTTGATGTATAGAAAATATGCCTGGAGAACAGTGATTGCCACGTCTTAGATACTGATGACCCTGGCTCTGTTACCCAATGCAGCTCGCAGCTGAGCGTGTAATCACAGTATAGCCGAAGAACATTTGCTCTGCTGAGATCTGTGTTCCCTGTCTGCGTTCTTATGTGTTTTTTAAGGTATGATTAAATGCCAGCCTAACCTCTGAATTCCCGTTAGCCACTTTCGAATCGTGCCAGCGTCAGCGTCCACTTTTTCCATGAACTGACACTTGAACCTGGGTGCCTGCACTTATGACAAAGAATCTAAAGTGTGTGCTGTGCTGGAGGGTTATATGCAGGGAACACAGATGGTTTAACAAGCAAGGTGCCAGAGGATACGGACAGCTTTTAATTTTTGGAAAGTACAAGTGACTAAATGAATAATGAAGGATTCTCTGTCACCTTCTCTTGTTTAGAATCACCAAATTAGCTGGTAATTTATTTTTTTTTATTTTATTTTTTTTGTTCAGAATCTCTATTCAGAGTTAGCTAATGAATGCACAACACAAAGTCTTTATTTGCAGAGCAGAAAGACTGCCTGTGAAGTACTGAAATATGGAACATAGTCTTGGATGTTCAGTCTGTCCTCTGTGGGTTAAGCATAACTCTTGTTTAATAGGGCACTCAGTATAAACACTTGCTTTTACAAGCAAGCATCTTCCTGAAAATCTTCTTTAACTATCACTTAAAATGCAGTACTGCTGCCAACATTCCTTCTGGGGAATATATTTCCTGCAATGTTAATGAGGAATAAATGCCAAAGGGAATTATTGCACATGAAGAGGAAAGTATTTCCTTCTGTGGATGGCTGCAGCAAGCGCACCGGAGTTCTTGCTCTAGAGCTGTAATTCAGTTCAAGGCATCTCAACCTGGCTGTGATGGTGTGATGGAGCTGTGGTGGATGGTGTTGATGTACCTCCCATAGTGCTGATAATGTTTAGGTAGGAGAAAGAATTGTGATTATCTGAGGCTAGGAACATATTACTTGGCTAGAGACCAGCAAAAGAAGTGAGCTTTAGAAAGAGTAATTAGGGATAAATGAGTTAAAGAGATGCCCTCAGTGACTGCAACAGGCTAGCTCTGCTCTCCAGGCTCTGCTCTCCTGGCTGTACCTGCACTACAGGAAGGTCAGGTAAAGTATGAAGGGTGTTGACCTGAGAGTCTACCTGCAACTGCAGACTTCCTTAGCTTATCTACTTTGCAATAGTATCAGCAATAGTCTTGTTTTCAGAGAATAACGAAGTCTGGAATTACTTCAGGCATCACATAGTACCTGAGGATAGAGGGAGAGGTGGACTTCTTGACAGATGAACTTTTTAAAGAAATGTCTTTAATTTACAGATGATGTATATGCCGATAATAAACCCCAACAGGCGAGGCAGCGGTCGCAGAGAAGGTAAGCCATTTCTGCCATGCCAGACTGTCCTGGCTCATATTTGTCTTCTGGGTCATCTGTTTGGACCGTCTGAAGGTCATCTGTCTGAGGGAGAAGAAAATATGGAAGACCAGCAGTTTGCTCAGGTCACGGCATGTTCTTTTTTTAGAACATATCTTTGCTCCTGAAGCCTTCCCTTCAACGGGAGGAGGCGGCAGCCGTGGAGACTGGCAGAAACCCAGCTTTTTCAGATCTGACAAGACTGAATAATATCATTTGGGTGAGTATGATTCAAAGTGTAGCTTTTATGCACCCTAAGTCTGCAGGTTTTGTGGCAGGGTGGGCAAGTGATTGCTCAGAATAAAGGATGGGATAGGATAGGATGGGATAGGATAGGATAGGATAGGATAGGATAGGATAGGATAGGATATGGTGCTTTCAGTTGGAAGGGACCTTTAAAGGTGACCTAGTCCAAACCCCTTGGAGTGAGCAGGGACATCTTGAACTAGATCAGGTTGCTCAGAGCCCCATGAAGCCTGACCTTGAATGTCTCCAGGGATGGAGCGTCCACCACCTCTTTGGGCAACCTATGCCAGTGTTTCCCCACCCTCATAGTAAAGAGCTTCTTCCTAATGTCTAATCTAAATCTACCCTGCTCTTTCACTACATTCCCCAGCTTTCCTGTAGGCCCCTTCAGGTACTGGAAAGCAGCTATAAGATCTCCCCAGAGCCTTCTCTTCTCCAGCCTGTCCTTGTAGCAGAGGTGCTCCAGTCCTCTGCAGTGTATTGGCAAAGACACAGATGAGTTGTTGGGTGTCGCAGTCCTCCAGCAAGTCACCTGCCATCTTTGTGCTGGTGCTCTCTTCCTACTCATGGCTTGTGGTGTCTATTTATACAGCAGATTATTGGACAGATGGCTACGTCTTTGTGCTGAATCTAATGCAACAGGCCCTCAAGGCTGCATAGTTCAGGAAACAAAACATGAAAGTGGTGGTATATGGGGGAACCAGGATGCTTGGTTTACCCAGGGCAGGTGCTTGTTGCAGAGAAATTGTGAAGGAGATGTTTGGAGTCCAATTAGTGGGAACGATAATGAAAGGCACTCAAGATTCATTGCAGCTGGCGAGGTCTATCCTACAGAAACCACCCTTGCTGACGTACTTGTGAGGCTCCATGTGGGAGCAGCTCTGATTGCTGCCATCTTATGGAGATAATCTAAAGGGAAGTGGTTTAGAATGAGATTTGGCAACGCAGGATGGAGATAATTCTTTGGCACACTAAACAGTTTTAAAGTAGTTGGGAAAGGAAGAGGAAATTAGTTAGTATTATGTCTTCATGATGAAAACGTTTTCACACACTCTCTTGGGTACATATCATTAGCAGGTCTCTGTCCCTGTAGAGAGTGCCAGAACTGAATGCTCCATGTGTGTGGAGCTCAGTTTGAGCCTGCTGCTTTGGAAACAAGGCAGTTTTAGATGTCATTTAGCACTGATGACTCACCAAAAACTCACACATGTTACTCATAAGCATATCCATGGTAAACCTATCCATGCTGAGGGAGCCATACCCCCTTCTCTCCTAGAAACTAGATACAAAAGGAAAATCCAGTCATTCTGCTAGGTCAGGCCTTCATTTGCAAAAATGATTTCATTAAATCCATATGCTATTTTAGTTTATCCATGAGCCAGTAAAGGTGATAGGCTGTTTTGCTCACTGCCTTTCCTCTTACAGCAATCTTTCTAAGTGTCTTTCAGTTTCCTTCAGCATATTGCAGTGGCATTCTGGTGTGCACTCTGTGTCCTTCTGGTTACCTTTAGTCCAAGGAAATAGTGTGGAAAGACTGAGGCTTACTGAAGGGTAGAGGACTTTCTGTTCCAGAGAAGAGAGGGACAAATTTTGTAAATGCTCGACCATTGTTGGCGTCTGAGAATCAAACTGTCTCAGTCTGGCTTGGTGAATTTGGGCTGAACTTTCTTCAAGCAATCTTCCAGAAAATTTGTGGGGAAGGAGATCTGTGTGCTCAAAATGGGCAAAAATCCTTTTCTTTTCATTTGGAAAATGCTAGGTATCTTAAATTAATTCTTTGGCTCTCAGGAGGTGCTAACCTCATTAAGCAGTAATCACAAATGTTTTATGTTCCTGTATCTAATGTCTAACAAATCCTTAAACCAGAAACAAGCTGTAAAATCGTCTTGAAAGAGAACATGAAACAAATGGGAAGAAATTAATGGTTCTTGAAATCCTGTGCAGTCCGAGTTTTAATACCTTCTGCTTGCACGTGAAGATAGGTTGCAAGTGTCATTTATAGAGTTTCACACCAGTGTCCTAGGTTTTGGATGTCTCAGAGGCAGATACATCAGAAGATTAAGGAATATTTTCAAAACCCCTCAAAACTCCTTGTTTCTCGTTTTTATCAATTTGACTTACTATTAGCTGTAAAGTCTGGAGAGAAGTCTTGCTTCTCAATTTCACCTGTGTCCAGAATTAGAGAGTTTCATCTGTGGGTTTAATTTGGAGCCACAGGTATCAAAAATATTTCATGTGTTTGAAGCCATGGAAGAGTTATTCCTGGCTTTTTTTCCCTGTATTTTGGCACCTACGTGATCATGACTGGCGATATTGCAAGCCGTTCTGTCATGGCACTGTTTGGTGGGGCATGGGAAATACGTGCTGTGTTTTGAGATGGCAGGAGCTCAGCTGGCTTAGCTTGGCTAAGAATATTTTGGGGGATGCTGGAGAAACAGCAATCTAATAATAGACTTTGATCTCTCACTGAAAGAACCTGTTGTTGACAGGCAAAGCTAGACAAGTTCAGGTATGAAATCAAATGTGGGGTGGTTTTTTATGTGACAGTACGGATAACTGACTGCTGCAAAAATTACCACGACAGGTGCCCCTGACAGAGTTTTTCATGCTGGATTTTACATTTTCTGAACTGGATCTTCTTATCTTTTTGGCTACAGGGATTATTTTGGGGGCATCCTATGCCTGACTGTGCAAGAAGCTGGGCTAAATGATCTCACTGGTATTTTGTGGCTCTTTTTATTCATTAAAATGTGCTGAATATTCAAGAAGAAAAAAAAAAAGTGCAATTGTTATATAAGGTAGAACTTTTTCAAGTCTGCAGAACTCAGACCACCAGTCTGCTGGTGCCTGCAGGAGTTAGCAAATTGCATATGAAAGAACCACACCAGTGATTAATGAGTTTACTTCAGTGACAAATCCAAATCAGATTTTCTGGATTTATTTCCTGGCGCATCTCTGGAACTGGGGAGATGGTAGAATTCACGTCATGCCAGTCTTCCCATCAAACAGCTCAGGCACGTGAGCCAGTGGGAGGGCCAGCCACAGTACAACTGCTGATCAAAGGTTAACAACCTCAGCCTGCAGCAAGTGTTGAGGTCATTAGTTAGCTTGGCCTGCAAGGTGTGTGCAGAGCTTGGAGCCGTTTTGGTCATCACAGAGTCAGCAGAGGGCATGTCAGGAGGACAGTCAATCCCCTGTTGAAACTCTTGGGAAGGAGGGACTCCTGCTCTGAAAGGATGCCGGTGAGCATGCACACACACAACATTAAAGCGCGCATGGGTATAAGGAATTACGGGTTCCATTAAGCTGGAATCTGCTTAACAGTGTTTGTGACTCTGAATTGTGAAGAGGAGCCTAAAAAATGGCTCAAAGTCACTTAACGACTTGAATGCCAGAAAGCAAATTAAAAGGGCCTCGATGATCTGCTCTTCCAAAATCAACTGCCTAAGGCAGTTTTTCCTGTGCAGGGTGGAGTCCTACCTATGACTTATATCTGGAGCCTCACCAGAATGCTTCACTTCCTTCAACAGGAAAATTAAGCAGCAATCTCCTGCCTTTGCTTGCAATATACATGTAGATTGTGAATGCAGATTTTCTCTTACTGTCATTAATCACGCAAGGGAAGTTGGGTTTTTTTGACAGACAATCAAATTTTTTCTGCATCAAAACAAAGGGGCTGTGATTTCCAGTTTGAGTTTTCTAAATTTTTCTTTAAATGACTCTGGCTGAGTTCTCACCTGGCATAGCTTACTGCTGGTGGGCATGTGGTGATGGCAGTTGTTACAAGCTGATTAGCAGCCTTGCAGAAATGAATTGACTGGCATCCTTGAACATTAGGGTGGGGGTTTTTTCAGTGGAAGAATAAGTGGTGACATTAGGCCACTTCTCATACTCAAGGAATCCAGGTCTAACCTTCAGAGTGAATTGGATGCTTGTTTGTTTGACTGTCTTCTATGAAAATAATAATGGAGCTGGGTACATAATCCTCCTGGGGCATGGAAAGAAGAGCTTTTATCCCCAGTGTCCTCATTAAGAAGTTGCTTGATTTTAGTTCCAGTCTTGTATTCTCTTGGCTTCATATATTCTGTCTTTGTTTTTCCCCTCTCTGTTCACCCATCCCACTTTCTGCTGTTCTCAGAAAGCAGCTTATTGCATTCTAGGGAAAAAAAGCAAAGCATCAGAGGGACGGAAAATCCCTGCAGGATGGGATCTGTTGCATAGTGCATGAGCTCCATATTGGATCAGCTTTGAGAATGAGAGCTAGAGCAATTTATTGCTTAGGAGGAAAAGGCAAACTACTGCTATGTTCCTCCTGCCTTGGAGTCCGTGTCTGAAAGCCAAGTCCTTGGTGTCACCAGGCATCTGAGATCACATACTTTCATCTGTTCAGAGGTGAAGGACTGAAATTGAAACAGACCCAGGCAGCACCTTTCCTGATGCTCAGGTTGGACAGTGGCACAGGGATGAAGCAGAGGTGAGGAGAATTGCTGTGACAGTCTCTTGTGGCTCTTGTGATTCTCTGATGATTTTTGCCTCTTCTGGATCTGTTTTGAAGGATTAGACCCACTGCTGTGCTGAGGAAATTGTTCCTGCTTCTGTGGATGAAGAGCTTGGATGATTCCTTAGACTTCACTGTGTCTGTAAAGCCTGATTGCAAACCCCTTAATCTCATTCCTGGAGAAAGCTGACAGGACTTCACTGGAGGAGAACAGAAGGGGCTTTCAGCTGTCCTCCAGCCTAGTGCTAACTGGGGCATTTTGCAAGCACTAGAAATGAGCTTGTCAAATAATCATGCAGCTTGGGAAGGACCTCTGGAAGCCCAGCCCCAGCTCAAAGCAGGGCCAGGTTCATGAGGCCGTGTAGCTGGGGCTTGAATATCCTGGGATATTGATCCCTCATCCTCTCTAGGCTGCAGGTTCAGAGTCAGAGCACTCTTGGGGGCACATTTTTCCTTAAACTGAGAT